ATGAATGTCATCGAATCTGGTTTTCCAGCTTCACGTAATGACCTCCCATCACTATTACAAGAATACTACCAGTTTCGCCACAGCGTATACACAGTGGACGGCGTCATCATGTACAGAGATTGTGTGGTTATCCAACCACTGTTACGCAAAAATATACTGGAAGTGCTACACTCGGCACACCAGGACATATCATCTATGACAACCCGCGCAGAGGACTAAGTCTTCTGGCCGGGAATCACCTCAGATATCGCAGCAATGCGTACGCAAGGCAAACACTGCAACCAGATGGTACCATCTCAACCCAGCGCACCACCCACACCAACCATCACACCAGCCTACCCATTCCAGTGCATCTGTGCGGATTATTTCCACTACAAAGGATCCAACTATCTCGTAATCGTACACCGTTACTCTAACTGGCCTATTATCGAACGAGCCAAAGACGAACTAATCAATTGCCTACGTCGCGTCTTCACCACCTTTGGGATCCCAGACGAATGCGCTACTCACGGTGAACCAGAATTCACCGCCGTCAAAACACAGCAACTCATCAAAAAATGAGGGGTACACCACCGCCTCGCCTCCGTTGCATTCCCGCACTCAAATTGCCGCGCGGAGGTTGCCGTTAAAACTGTGAAACGCCTCATCACGAACAATACCGGCCCAACTGGTAGCCTCAACACAAACGCCTTACAAAATGCTGTTCTACAATATCGTAACACGCCTGATAACGATACGAAATTATCACCAGTCCAATGCGTCTTTGGAAGACCCATTAAGGATTTCATACCAATTTCCCCCGGCCATTTTAGGCCACACGAAACCTGGAGCAAAACACTCGATGATCGAGTGGAGGCTTTACTAAACCAGCCCATGAGAGCGACGTAACGTTGATCATAACACACGAGAAGATTGCGACCTCTGTCCATTGGATATCGCGTAAGAACACAGAACCAAACAGGATCGTGCCCCACAAAATGGGACAAGACTGGAACAGTCATCGAAGTCCTTCAACACGATCAGTACCGCGTCAAAGGTGACGGGTCCAACCGAATTACACTGAGAAAATGAAAATTTTTCGGGCAATTCACACCTTTACAAGAGCAGTCATCCAAATATACTATTGATACGGACCTGCTGCTGATACCAAAAGTCTCAACGGCGAACCTTACTCCCAACAAAATCACACCAGCCAGCATAAAACCAACACCGTCATTATAACGTCGAGGACCGGGGACGCAAACTGATACCCCTGAGCCAGCACCACTACCGAGTATAGATACCGCAGATAAAACTTCACCGAATGCAACCAAGATACCTAAGGATAACAAAGAACCCACACCAGCGACCGCACAGCCTAGCAAGAAAGCACCACTAGCTCTACGCAGATTACTCAATTTCAACAGGAAAGGGCTTTTAGAAAATAGAGATGATGAACAAATATCAAAGGACAATTTTATATTACGCTTTAGAAAACTAGAAAAGACTTGGGGGGGGGGGAGGGGGTAGAGCATAATGGAGGA